ACATGCCCACCTATTACAGTGGGTCAGTTTTGAGAAAATCAGCCACTACCTTTTAAATCTAAAAATGCATTCATAGGAACAATGGAATCTGCCTCATACCAAAACAACCAGTTGCCCCATCTTGGTCAGTATTGTGTACTGAACTGACTGACAACAGCTCTCTGAGGTTTTCAGACAGGGATAGTTCCCAACCCTACCTAGGAATGCAGGAACCCCCCCCCCCCCAGTGCATGTGTTCACAAGGGCCCACATCTCAATGGTAGATCATGAGCTTTGCACACAAAAGGTTCACGTTAACACCAAGGTTGCAGGTTCGATCCCCTATGGAATAGCTGCATATTCCTGCACTGCAGGGGGTTGGACTTGAATGATCCTCAGCATCCCTTCCAACTCCACAATTCTACAATCCTTGCATCTCCTGGTACGTCTGGCAAAGAACTCTGTGTGACAACCTTGGAGAGCCACTTGGGTGGTTTATCTTGTCCAGAATTCGGCTCCCAAAGTGGCCAACCAGAGGCCTTGGGAGCCCAGGAGGAAGACATGAACTCAACAGTAACTCCTTCAGCAACTGGAGCTGCTGAAGAGACAGACTAGAAGGAGAAGAATTATAGTAGTTAGGCTGGGGGGAAATGAGAATAAACCAAGAAAAATCTCCAGTTCATGGCACAGAGCACCTGAGGCCTTCAGATAAATATGTAACACAAGCCAAACCTGAGTATTGTCTTAATCTGCTTCGTTCTTCTTCCTTGTGACAACCCTTTTAAAAATATTGCCGGCAATGTTCATAACACGAACAAAAGAAAGGGACGATACCTGTCAACCATCCTAATTACAGATCCATTTTTTGTTCCCAGCCCCAAGCCCCACGCCTGCTGCTATGTCTCACTTATTCATGTAAATTTTGTTTTTCAAAGCAACCGTGAGTGAATTATGAAAAGAGAAAGTGGCTTCCCCCCTGTTTTAATTAAAGAAGCAGTGCTTCATTCGTGCAAAGTTCCTCTTTGCCTTTCAGTGGGGGTCTTTTGAGCCCACTTTATATAAGTTGGGGATGTAAAATAATAATATCGAGCTGGGAGAAGAGAGAAAGGGACGCGGTCTGTCTGTCACATACCAGTTAAATTATTGCCTGTTTATTTATCCTGAGTCGTCAATGGTCATGGTGCTTTAGGATGACATAAGCAAAAAGGCAGGCCCCTGTGGCGACACACTTAAAATCTAACTTTTGACAGATATATCAGAAAGGGAAGAATGGGAATGTGGAAAGTTGCCTTATATTGAGCTAGACCATCTAGCTCAGGACTGACTACACCAGTGTAGGGAAGGAAGGAATCATATAATTGGAAAGCAGCATGAGGGTCATCTAGTCCAACCCTCTGCAATGCAGGAATCCTTTGTCCAATGTGGGACTCGAACCCACAACCCTAAGATTAAGACCCATGCTCTACAGAGGAAAAGTTTGCTTCCTCTGAGGGGAGAGGAGCAGAAAAATGTGTGGAAGGAAATTATAAAGTAAGATAAAAGGTTAATATTTTAACCTACCTTTTATTTATTGCATGTATATCGCACCATTTCTCCAAAGAGCTCAAGGTTGCGTTCATGGTTATTATCCCCCTCCTCTTTCAATCTCCACAGCAACACTTTCCGTGAAGTAGGTTAGGCTTGGCTGGCCCAAGGTCACCCAGTGAGCTTCATGGCTGAGTAGGAATATGAATCCTGGTCTCCCTGGGCCTAGTCTGACACTCTAACCACTACACAACACAGGCTTTCATAACAGCAGCAGCAGCAGCAAAAACTAAGAAGGCGAAGGAGAGGAAAGCTGTTATAGGAGGAAGAAGTGAATGTAAAAGGAACTAGGAGGAGGGAGGAAAGAAACTGGTGGTTTCGGGGTAGGAATAAGGTACAAGTTGGGTGTGAAGGGAGCAGCAGGGAATTCAGGAAATGGGTAAAAATATTTTGAGAGGCATGTGGGGGCGAGAAGAGCAAAATATAAAAGCCAAAGTCATCTCCACCGAGATGCTTTGGATCAGTAAATTCTATCCAAAATGAGAAGGCACAATACCTCTGGAGGGAATATATTATACTTAGCTTGAGGAAAGCTGAGCTAAAATGCTGTAGCAATGAATCTAGCAATTTCCAAGGGCGGATTAAAAAAACAGACAAATTGGAGGTATCTGAGAATGGTAGACATCTAAAGTGATCTTATGCATACGGTAAATTCAGAAATGACAAAGAAGATTCCACTGTTTATATTAAACTGCTTCCATATAGCAGGTATAGGATCATGATATTATTATTATTATTATTATTATTTCAACTTATACACCGCCTTATACCCGGAGGTCTCAGGGCAGTTCGCAACAAGACCACAACATACAAAATCAAAACAAAAGCAGTAATCCATAACCCTCCCCCCAAAAGCCACATTCTAAAAGGGTGTTGGATGTCAATAAGATCAACCAAAGGCCTGGTTAAAAAGGAACGTTTTTGCCTGGTGCCTAAAGATGTATAATGAAGGCGCCACGCAAACTTCCCTGGGGAGAGCATTCCATAGACAGGGAGCCACTGCAGATATTACCGTATTTTCCAGCTATAAGACGCCCCCATGTATAAGACGCCCCCTATTTTGGGGGCCTCAGATTTAAGAAAATGGAGGGAGATGGCCCCGTGTGTAAGACGCCCCCTAATTTTTGACAATATTTTTAAGGGGGGAAACCTAGTCTTATACACTGTAATTGATATTAATTGGCTTAAGTCTAAATCAACATAACTAAATAGGCTGGTGTGTTCTTACTATATTAAAGATTGCACTCAGTTCTTGTTGGGAGGTGTATCAATGCATGGCTTATAGCTTAATGCTGAAAATGCAAAATGTACCTGACTTTAATACAGAAACAACCATTGGACAATGGACCTTTTAATGAACCTGGTGTGAGTTTCTAGTATTGAAAAGTGAAGCCAATCAAGTCTGTGATGCTCTCAAGTTTCACTGTGAACATTCTGCTCAGCTCAACAGTTATACTGCATTTTTAAATAACTGAGAAACAGGATGTTGGAAAGCATTTTATAGCAAATGGTCTGAGTTCTGTCCTAGGTATGCACAGAAGTCAGGTTTTGCAAAAGGGGAGAGAACTTTTTTTTTTAATTAGCTGCATTTTAGAGCAGGAGATTGACAATTACATTTCCAGATAAATATACAAGTAAAATTATTGCACATGGTTTTAGAGAGAGGCTTGGATGTGGACAGGAAGGAATATTTATTGCAGATAGGTAAGGAAGAGCCTTGGATATAGACATGATGGGATCTTTTATTCATAGGTGCATATTTTGTGCCACTGGAAACGTGTTGTTTTATTATTGCTCTTTCACTATGTACAAACAACTCACCCCAAATTCTGCAAGTGCCAGGTTGGACTTTGATAATAATACTCTCAAGATGGCATTTCAATGGACAAGTGGATAGGTAATAAATCTAATGATCATCATCATCATCAGTAAGTAAAGTCCTAAAATAGCCCCATTGCTTTACAGCTAATAATTTATATAGCACTTTTCATTGCTTTATAGTTTCACTCTTCACATCAGCTAAGCAAAAGGTCCTTGCCCCAAAGAGCTTACAGTTCCAAATCAGATGGCACTGAGAGGACAGAGGGAAGAGTGGGATTTCTTTTTTGTCCACCCTTCACTACACTTGACATCCAAGGCATACCTGACATGCTTTCAGTTCACTTAATGCCTGTGATGACATGTATTGCTGTCCATCCAAAGTTAAGTCTGCAATAATAGACTACTTGAGACATGTCCAAATGGAAACTTCCCAGACCACAGTCTGCTTGTTTGGCACTTCCTTTCGGCACTTGCCTGCTAATGGGTGTGAGTGGTGATGCTAATGCACATGGAGTATTTTAACAGTGAGATTTAACTAGGTGTATAATGGATGTAAAATCAACATCGGCTAGAAGCATTTTCACATGTGAGGCTTAAGTAGATTTGTGCTCAGATCAGTCTATGATAAACCCTACATTGGTTAGAGATTGTTGTTTTTTCAATTTCCAGTGGGCTAGCCATGTTAGGTCACTTCCAGATTATTTGTTTGGTGAGCATTCATCCAAATTTGATCTCACAAGGTTTGCAGGAAAGTTAGAGAACATTGGCTAAGTACACATTAACCTGATCATAGTACAAAAATATAGTACTTCTCAATAGGGAATCATTTGTGCTAGTCTGCAACACAGCCATTAGCAATTGTTTGTCAAGCAAAATGATACTTCCCAGTGTAATTTCCAATCACTTTCCTTATTGCAAAAAGCTCTAATTTTGGTGAAGTGCTAAATCAACTTTAATGGCACAACCTGCATTTGCTATATGTGAATCCTACCCAAAAAACAGTCTGCAAGGGACCTTGGGTTGTTTTTGCTGCCACAGACTTAGGGTGCTTCCAGGCAGAGGGGGCGAGGAGGATCAGTTCACAAAAAAAGGTTGTTGAGATACTGCAAATCGGGTGTTGGCCAAAGGTTTCTTGGTGCTTGTTATCGGGCCCAGAAACATTACAAGCGCGAAGTGGCATCCACGAGAAGCACAAATCCTACAATAATCTGGCTTCACATGTGGAAGCAGCCCTTCCATTTCTTCTTCGTTTTAAAATAAATATTTATTTATTGAAGAAAGTTTTCAGCAATACAACCATCTGCCCCCGGTCCATCCCTCAGTAACTTATAACATCACAAGGCACAAATGAGAGAGAGAGAGGCTTTCTTTCCCTTGTCTGGTGCAAAAAGTCTGGTGCAAACAGTGGAGCTGCGCACCCTTCACCAAGAGACCTTTCTGGGGAAAAAGAGCCCCCATTCCCAGGAGCTTGGCTTCTGAGAGGCGCGCGCCAGGTGAGCGGGGCGGGCGCGCGCCTCTCCCCGCCACGACAGGTAACCTGGAACCTGCCCTCGCGCCCACACGCCGAGCCTCCGGGCTGGATGAAATTACGCGCCTCTCGCCCTCATGCATAAAACATGGCTCGGGAGGAGGGGGAGGCGGCGGGCGACCGCGCGGAGCCCAGCAGTAGAGCCGCCTGTCCCGCGTCGCCGGGCTTCCCCAGAGCCGCCGCCGCTGGTGCTGGTAGGCCCCACGCCCCACCGGCCAGAGAGGAAACTGGGTGTCCTCGCTTCCCGCTGGGCCCGCGTCCCCTGGGCGCGCGGATTTACGCAGCGCTTCGCGCGCCGCCTTGGAAGCCGCCGCCGCCGCCGCCGCTTCGAGCTGCAGCCTCTGGTGACCATGGAGCTCCCTCCGCGCCTGAACTGCCGCTGCCTGCTGAGGAACCGGCCTTGGAGGCGCAGGACCAAGCGGGGGCCTTTCAGGAGTAAGTGCGCCTGCGAGGCGGGCGCTTTGGATTTGGCCTGACTTTCTCCTTCCTCTTCTGCTGCCTTCCCTCCCTCTGCCTCCCTCTCTACCAGACCTGTAAACCTCCCTCTTTTGCACCAGACCTGTAAACCACTGTTATCTTCTTCAGTGGGTTTGCTCCAGGAAGATCACCACTTTTATTTTATTTTATTTTATTTAAAATAGCTACTACTGTACATCTTTAAATTGCTATACAGTACTGGATTATCTCACATGTCAAAGTCACTGGCTTGAACGAAAATTTCCAACACCTTATAGTTTTTGAGTTATAGCTCGGTTGGTAGAGCATGAGACTCTTAATCTCAGGATCATGATCATGGGTTCAAATCCCATGTGGGGTGAAATATTTGAACCGGGTGATCCTTGTGGTTCCTTCGAACTATTCTGTGATTCCGTGAAAGGGGGGGATGAAAATTAGGGAAATGTTATATACATGCACAATGCACTTTTTAAAGCAATTTTTTTAAAGCAATGTGGGCTGAAGTCACTTGTGACTGGGCCCCTTCCGGGATTATGGGCCCTGAAACTTCAACTTCATTAGTTTCATAGCACATCCTCCCTGATCAACCCCCATTACTGACTGCCTTTTTGTCTGCACAATGGAATTTAATTCCATTAGCTAACTTGATGAAGTGGCTCAGCTTCTTTACAGCATGGAAGAACATGCTGAGTAGTCACACAATTAATTGGATATCTATTAATTAAATGCCCATGCCCTGCCCCTCACTAACTTTACAAGGAAGACAATCAAATCAGGGAAACATTTTCAGATGATTCCATTGTGCCTAAGTAGTCTAAACCGATGAATGATTAGCAGGGCTGGCCCACCCATGAGGCACATTGAAGCAGCTGCCGGAGGTGGCAGAACCTCACTGGGGCAGTGCCACCATGGGTGCCTCCACCTGCTGCCACCCCATCTGGCTCCAGAGAAGCAAGGAGAAGGGGCAGCGGCAGGTTCTGGCAAGCTCTTGTGAAATCTTGCTGCTGCTGCTACCACTTCTCCTCATGGGTGCCACCTGAACCTGGAAGCCATGCAAAAAACCTAAGCCACACGACCCCAGCTACACCTTTCCCTTTCACCTTAGGCAGTGAAACAGGTCGGGCTGCCCCCTGATGATTAGGCCTGGACTGCTAGGCTGTAATTCTACTAAATAAGTTGCTGCATTCATGCTTTTGCAAGCCTTGTGTGATATTTTAAAGACTAGTTGGGATTCTCTAGCAGAGTGTTCTTCTGCTTGTCAAGAACTTATCCAGGTTGAGGTTCCACAGCACAGAACCCATTTAAAAGCAGTGCACCCAAAACAGAGGTGAGCAGTAAAGGGGTAGAGCCCATGCGCCTGTGTGTGGAGCTTACAGAGAAAGCTATGTTGAGGTGTATGGCATTTGATGTGCTTAGAATGTCCCTGCCACCAAATCCATCCATCTATAACGCTTAGGTAACACAGATAATCCTTACACAGTTCAGACTTCAATTGGGACGCAAGCACAAGGAAAGGGGCATATGACAACTAGCTGACTACAGCTGTAGTGTGCAGGTTAAATCACATGCACAAACACAAATATATGCTACATATTATTAAGGAATCAAGCGTGGAAACATGTACCCATTTTGCAGATTGGGCTCTCTGAGTCCAATAATTTATATTCCAATGGAAACAAGCCACCACCTTAGTCCTATGGAGAATTAGGTTTGGCTAACTCTGCGTAGAACTTAATTGCAACCCTCATACAATACAGCCCCCCTGGATTTTTGCGGTCAGATAAAAAAGTTTGGGGAAGACTGTAGCTCATTGACAGAGCATCTGCTTTGCATGCAGATAGGGCTGGGAGATACTCTTGCCTGAAACCCTGGAGAGTCAGTGTTATCAATACTGAGCTAGATGGACCATTGGTCTCACTCCATATAAGGCAATTTCCTATATTCCTATCGAAAGTAGGAGGAAATGGAAACCTGTGGTTCTTGCTTGGATCATAGCAAGGCTGATTCTCTGCATGCTTACTCAGAAGTAAGCCTCTTGTTGTTCCTCTGGCTTACTCCTAATGCTTGCAGTGCCCTTTTCCCACCAAACCCACTGCCAAAGCCTGCTGATGGCACTTGAAGTTTCCATCAGAAAGCAAAAGAACAGTAGCAACAGCGCTGCTACACTTCACCAAAAGGTGAAGACCTCTCTGTTTTTAGCACTGCCCTGATACTTCAATTCAGTGGAGTTTTTTTTTATCTTTGCTAACAGAATATATTTCCAGGCCTGGTGCAAATGTCACATCACACTACTGATCTCTTAAACCAGGGCTCCTCTCCTCTCCCCCCCACATCCTTCACTGGGGAAAACTAATACAATTAGCTTCAAATTCAGTTTGCTAACCAAGTTTAGCAGCAGTGTAAAACATGCCACATCACGGTTAATGCTGTCAAGAGATGAGAAGATGCTGGAAGATGCATGCTTCCTTATTTTCTTATTTCTTATTTCCTTGCAAAATAGGAAATGGGAAGCTGTGAAGTAGAAGAGGAAAGTGTGGCCCTTCAGATGTTGCTGGACTCTAAATCCCATCAGCCCCAACCCTTATGGACAACTGTATGGGGAGGTGATAGGAGTTATAGTCCAACAACACCTGCAGGGCAACAGGTTCCACAGCCCAATTTTAGACAGAAGGGCATTCTGCATCAGGCCCACTTTTATCAGTGGGTACCCACAATACACAGGTGGCCTGTGCTGGTCTGGTGCAGATCATTGCTTATCCAAATGGATAATATGGATGTATGTGCAGCCAGCTATCCTTCTCCTAGGGCTGCTGAGAGAAGGGCTGGTGGCATAAAATTCTCATGCATGCATAGAGGTGATGGGGAGGTTGTGAAGGGTGACTGGATCAAGCCTCAAGTCATGGCAAAAGCCCTGTAAAATGTATTACCAAGTTGGGTAGGGATGAGCTGAAAATGAGTGACCCACATCCCAGTGAAGTCAGTAGCAGTGCTTCAGCACAAAACTATTATTCAAGGCACAATTCCCCCCCCCCCTCCTTTTGCCTTAACTTGATGAAGATACACAGGTTCTTCAAACTCTTTAGACAGGCAGCTATGTGCATGTTTAATAAATGGATAACCTGTCATCCTTCCTGCCCCTCTGGCAAGGGGACAGCGAGTTAGGCTGTAATTTTTTTTATATCAAAGGATGGCTACTTTAGATCAGTTTGTATGCTGCATGACAGTCTTAAACCCTGATGAAGAGAACAAGCCAAATGTTTTTGTTGTTTTCTTCAATATTGGAACAAGATTTGTGGAGAGGGACATCAGCACCTTTGATTTGAGAAGCTGGTTAATGCACACAACAAGTGAAAAACTGTAAATGAGGCAGTAGCTGATGGGCGAAAGCAGGTTATTTGCCATGACAGCCTGGCTTAAGCCTGAGGCAATCATTTGAGTTGATACTGTGAAATATACAATAATTGCAAGAACCAGCATTAACCTACTTATCCACGGTTAAATGTGATGCTGAAAAGACTTTGGGGTTTTGCAAACCTTGAGATGGAAGGGCAGCGAGGTGGGTGGATGGGTGTGGATTGGCTGCTTTATAAAGAAAGCCTCAATTGTTTGGAACCGCAGCGCTGGCTGCAATTTCATTGATTTCCAAACATGTAACCCAGAAACGTCAGACAAACCTGTAATAGAAGACTTCTAAGAAGAATGCAAATGTGCTTTGGGTTCCCTGTAATTGCTTGTTTTTCTTGTGTTCTTGTGACAAATGTAGGCTGGGGAGGGACCACAGCACATGTTTTGAATGCAGTTAAGTTGCAGGTTCAGTCCCTGGTGCCTCCAGCTGAAAATGTCAGGTATCAGTTGATGGCGAAAGGTCCAAGCCTGAAAGTTTGAAGAATCTGATGCCAAGCAGAGCAGACAGTAAAAACCTGGCCTGGTATAAAGCAGCTCTCCCTATGTGCCCTTTTAAACTTATTTTAATATAGAAGCTACTTAGGAACTGGATGGACCAAACCCACAGATGAACTCTTCAACCATCATATTTCATCTGTGTTGTCATGAGCCCTGTGGGGATGGTCAGATGCCAAGGAGGAAAGGGAGGAGCTTGGAGAATTGCAGCCAGAGGACCCAGGGGAGGTTCCTAGCATGATGGAGGAGCTGAAATTGGGCATCAGGGGGATGTCTGATCCACCCCATCTCCAATGCCAGCAGTGGCAACATGAACAAGCCTTGCATAGCTGCTCAGAGGAGTGCTCATATGATTGCCCAGTCCCAGGATGCTTGCTGCGCAAATAGCTGTGTCTGCCCCCTACTTTAAAATGAAGCTGCAGGGGGCATGTTGCTTGTTGGATCAATGTATTTGCTAGTGCTGAGGCATGTATTCTTCCCTGTTGTGTACCTGCTGAACCTTGTAACCTGTACTATGCCTTATGCACCAATTTGATTTGAGCATTATCGTCTTTAGCAGAACTCGAGCTGGGAGTTGCAAATTTTCATATTGCAGTGAGAGCCCGGACAGGCGCAGTTTTTGTTGATGAGTTAGATCCTTTAGACCTATATGAGTTGTCATCAACTTCTAAAATAATGCACATTGACTGTTCATTGTTGTTCAGGCTCTCCCCTTTTAACTATTTCTGAATAAACAAAATGGAGACTTTAAAATGGATCTGTATATAATCTTCCTTTGCCCCATCAAGCCAAATGCAGCCCATTAGCAATGTATGGCAAGTCACAATGGACTTTCTGCCTAGGACTATGAAATTGCATGGCTGGATGGACTGTGGTCAGTTTGGCGAGTCACAATTTCTGTTGGGCTCCTTTTAAAGTGTGCATTTGACTTTGCAGATTCTGCCATTATCACTCTCTTTTTCCCTAGAAGCATTCCTTCCTCTGACGAGGCTGCTCACATTGCATTCAGCCTCCCTTGAATAGGCTTTGTTACTTTAGATTCTCTTGAACCCACAGTAGTGCATAGGGTGGTTGCTATGACAACACAGACTAACAGCTTTTACCACCCTTTGGGTAGCTAACAGGATGAATATGCCGTGTAGCTAAAGGGAAACTCATTGACAAGAATAGCAGCTCAATAAGAGGTTCTCATATATTCCTGCAATATGGTGTTGGCTTCCCTGAAGTGATATTTAGTATGCAATATGGGGAGAACTTGGTGTGTAGCTAAATGTTGCAACACACCTAAATTATCAATCATTTCCTTTTTGAGTCTTACTGCAAGCTTCACTTTCCTCATGTACAGTACTTGCATTTTGTTCCCTGGTGCATTTAAATGACTGGAAAACCAGCTAGCCTTCCTGCTTTCTTGTTCTTCTCTTCCAAATTGCCTTTACTTTGTTTCAACTCACACAACTCCACAGCTA